AGGGCTTCCACCTCTCTGGAAGATGTGTTGGGCACCGCTGTATTGCACACTGAGAGGAAGGCATGGCTGGCTCTCCTGGTGCCATAGAAGCTCCTGGAGGAAGCCATGGCCCCCAAAAAGGACCAAGGCAGGACAAGGAGGACTGGCAAAACCGGGCAGAAATTGTGGGCTCTTTCGTCCTCCACCCCAGCCATGTGGACTCTATTTTGTGCTGGGGCCCCAGTGTGGGAAGTGTCTCAGCAGGGCGGGGCCCAGCTCTTGCTGGGGAAGGACATTCCCTTCAGGCCCCTCCTCCATGTGACCCTTGTCATACCTGCTGAGGGCAGGAGGACAAGGCAGCAGCTCCCTCCCTCGCTCTGCTGAGCTGGCTTCTGTGGGTGCCAGGTGCACCAGCATGTCCACCCAATGGGGGAAAGATCTTGACTCAGATTTCCTGCTTTTATTTTCTGACCTTCATGAACCTTGTGATTTGGTTTTAACCCACTGCTACTCCCCAGGAGACCCAAGTCATTAATGGGGCTGATGAGAACCGCTGTGAAAGCAGTGATTCCATAAACGGGAGCCCCTTGAGGGGAGAGCCTGGTATTAGAGCCAAGTGAGTACAGCTCAGTGCCCTGAACACTCCTCTCCATCCAAGCCACACCTTCTGGGCCCAACTCTCCTTCAGAGCCCGACCTGCCACAGCTCCCTCCTACTGGTCCATCTCACCTTTAGTTGTCTTAGTTTGTCATCTCCACAAGGGACCACCACCGTGGGGCACGTTTGTAAACAAGGTTCCTAGGAAGAGAACGCTTTTGTCTGGCAGTTCTGGGGTTCAGAGACATGAATTGTTCCCCTGGCACCTGTCAACTTCTGGCCCCTCAGCTAAAGTTTGTTGGGAGGATTCAAGGACAACTGATTAGCAGCACTCTGTGCTGCAGGGGAGGCCTTCCGTGGGAAGCACAAGCAACCTCTACATATTTGGCAGGGAACATCCTTCCCCAAATGGACAGCAAATTTTCCCAGGCCACCTGGGTTTCTGAGCTGCCCTTTGGAGAGGCCTGGTCTTGGGGTTGTACAATTGAAAGGTGGACATTGGGGAGGAGCATCAGCAGAGGCTGATTGGCCTGGTACTGGCAGATGCAGCCTCCTTGACCAGAGTGCAGCAGCACCGAAGGCAGCCTCTGAGTGGGGCCTGCTTCCTAGGTCTCCCAGTTATAGGTCACAGTGGCCCTGCTGTGCAAATTCTATGGGTCCATTTGGGCTTCCTTAACTGGGAGAGCCACAGGCAGCTTAGCTGACTTGGTCCCTGGTGTACTTGGCCTGGGCCTCCCTCACAGCTTATGGGAGGACTGACTCCCTCCACCTTCCTCAGCTCTTAAGTGCCCAAAGGACAAACCCAGTCAATCCCTCAGCCAGCCAGGAGACAGGGAGGAAACCAAAGAAATGCAACCCAACAGGATGAGAGACTGCACTGGGGTGACCAGTACTGGAACCCTGAGGTTCCCTTTCCAACTGCTCACTTAACCCAGGGAAGGACCAGCCGATGAACAATCTTTGGGAACTGACACACAAAACCAAAAGGAAAGCCCTGGTCATGTCACTGTGGATCATGGCACTTGCTGCAACAGCTACTGCAATTTATAATGTGACCGAGGCTCTGGATCAGACCGTTGGGAGCATGGAGAGGGTGTTCTCGGATGCCATTTTGTGAGTCTAGGTCCTCCCACCTGTCCCTCCCTGCCCCTCTGTCACCCTGCTTTCTGCCAGCTCTCTCTGTCCAGGTAGGAGGAGATGGTGGGTGGGAAATACAGATATCCTACAGCTCAGGCGGTTTCCTTGTGCAGGTCTGTGTGGGCATCAGAAACAAAACACAACTCACCACCATCTTGTTCTAGAACGTGAAAAGAGAAACAAGGATGAAAGTTTTTTGCAGGGCTTTGGGTGATTACACAGGCAGGAGGGGACTCTGCTCAGCGGGAGTGAGTGAGAACGTGGCTTTGGGTGTCACTGTGGATGCCCACCCCAGCGGTTGGTGGCCAGCAGGCTGCATGTCCCTGAGCACCTGACTCCTCAGTTTTCTGAGGGACTCGGTACCTTCTAGGTCCTGCTAGCTCCTGGCTGCTGCTGTGCCTTCCCCTATGCTCCTCCTTCTCTCTCCATCCGGCAGTGACCTTGCCACGGCCACCGTGCCCTGCTGTCCCTCTCTTCTCGGTCAGGGTGTCCTCTGCTATTGCTCTGCTCTATCAGGGCACGTGGTCTCCACAAGGTGGCATTGCGTGGTCCACCTCATGCCTGCTCAGGTACCAACGCCAGCCCAGACCCCAGACTGAAGCTGCTGTGGACAGGCTGGCAGCTGCTTCCTTTCTGTCCCTGTGTGTCCAGTATGGGCAGCATCCCCTGGCACTCAAGAAGAAGATGAGGGAGGTCGTAGCCGCCCAGAGAATGTGCAGACACCGTGTTGGTTTCTAAAGCTCAGCTGCCCAGAGCTTGGGAGTCCTGTTCATTCTGTGTCCCTACAGGGCCCCTGCTTCTTCCCTCAACAGCACAGTCCTCCTCCCGGCCTCCTGTCCACCTGAGCGCTCAGAACCCGGGGGCCATGAGGCAGCTTGCCAGAGATTGCGGGCCCTTATCCCCATGGACTACGCCGCCCATGGCCACAGGCTGTGCTAGCACGAGGCAGGAGGCCTGCCAGGTTGTCTCTCTGCCTGGGACTGGAGGGCAGAGTCTGTGTCTCCCTTTGCTCCTTGAAGACTGCACTGAGGGAGCAGCACAGACCCAGGAGTGCATGTGTCAGGTCCCTAGGAGAGTTGTCTGGGCTCAGGGAATTGTGCAGCTTGGGGCACTCACCTTTCTGCGGTGTAGCCACAAGCACCCTATCATCAGTATTAGGACCAGCATGCACGCAGCCAAGTGGTAAGGGTTGATGTTGGGGAACTGTATGCCTTGATTTCCGGGACCTGCTGCTGCCGCATTGGAAAGGTCAGGTGGCTGCACATTGCAGAGAGAAAACACCAGGAGTGTGGGCCTGGGGCCTCTCGATTCCCACTGCTGAGCACACATTCTAGACTCCCATCAGCCCACTCCCATTCTCAGCAGGTTGCCACCTGGGCGGAACACAGTACTAGAGCCAACTATGCTCAGCGCCCACCGTGGAGGTGGGACACACCTGCCCCACTGGCCGTGCTCAGAGGCTAAGCCAGAGCCCAGTCAGGAAACCAGAATCCTTGAGGAGTGACCAGCCCAGCCCCAACCCCAAGCCCTGGCTGACAGTGCAGGGACACACAATTGTACACATACACAGATGGGTTTCTGGGGGAGTGTGGGGCCCCCTGAGATTTGCGGGTTCAAGGGCAGAGCAGGAGACCCAGGATCATTGCACATGAGGGCCCCCCTGTCTTATAGATTCTGAGCTGTGGGCTGACAGCCTCCATCTCTCTGCACCTCCGTGTCCACATGTGAGCTGGAGGTGAGAGAATCGTGAGGTGTGGAGGGTCATCGGAGTCCTGGCACAGGCCAGGTCCATGTGGGACTGAGAGAAGGGGCTGTCTCTGGCTGTGGTTCTGAATCTGGGGTGAGTGGGGCTCAGGTGGGACCCCACGCAGTCTCTGCTCAGAGCAGCAGGCGAGGGGGCGGGAGAGAGGTGTGGTGCCCAGGGACAGGGTGGCAGAGAGAACGGCAAGGTCAGAACTGCTCACCTGTGGTACCTGGGCCAGCCCTGCGTTTCTCCTGAGGACTTTCCTCATGGGCCTGATGACAGACGAGCTGTGGGTCGGCGGGACTCCTGAGGGGCTGATGTCCGTCCTCTGGCTGGTCTGAGCAGATGTGCAGACACAATGCAGACAACACAGAGATGTCAGCTGGTGGGGACCCTCACAAGCAGGTACAAGACACGGGGCTCTGCCAATCAGGCACCAAAGCCCTGCTCCCCATCACACTCTTCTCATCCTAATGCTTGCCACTGCCATGCCTCACTGCCCTGGGCTTCGGTGCCCAGATGATGGGGGACATGGAAAGAGCTTGTCACTTTCCTTAAGTGTCCCTAGCTGAGATGACTCCTGATCCCTCCCAGGGCCCTGATAGCTTCTCCAGCAGCTGAGAAGAGAGATGTAGGGAGAGCTGCAGCCAGGACAGCTGAGGAGTGTGGGAAAGGAGGAAGCTTCCTGTGCTGGCCAAAGGCATCTGAGCTCAAATGACAGCCAGTGTCCCTCAGGGTCCAGGGGCTGAGATGGTCACACACCGGGCACCAATGCAGAGGAAACGCACCCTGACTGTGCAGGGCCCAGCTGTCCCCTCCACATCCCCTGTGCTGCAGCCTGCGGGAAGGCCCGGTGCCCAGACCTGCAGTCTGGTTCCTTGCACAGAACCTCCTAGCAACCCCCAGAGACCCCGCTGGATTAAGATGGTACCTGGACGTCCCCACTATAGTGCTGCAGGTTAGGGTTGCAGGCCAGTCGGTATTTAGGCTGGGAAGATCCTTAACCCTGAAGCTCATGTAGCTGGGAGTGATTGTGGAGGGACATTGCCCTTATTAGGACACTGGACATTGAAAAATTTCTTCAGACACTGAAATCATCATTTCTTCTGCTTCATTTTGCTGATGGGAAGAATATACTGATGTTTCAACTCTATATCAGCCCTGTGCTTCTGGGGTGATCCCAAAATGGCTCTGAAATATTTTACTTGTCAGATCTTCTTCGGTTTCATTGCTACTGTATTATTTTTTCCTCATTTTTAAATTAAACTTTTGATTTTGTGATTAAAAAAGAATTATACAATCTTATTGTGCTAATCACTTCAAGTTTTATATGTCAAACCATTATGTGATATACCTTCACCTTACATAGAACTGTATGTCAACTCTCGTTCATGCATACTGGGAATAAGAGCATTTCCACGTGTGTATTTATATCACACATTTAAACTGCACAGTACACTACATCCATCACACACACCCGAGCACAATGTACAACTCACACAAGCACACATGCCTCTGTTTAGAATAGAGACCCAGCTCTTACCTCCCACACAGTAATCGGTCGGTCCCACACTTGTAAGCTCAATGCAGGCCTTAGCTGCGAGCTGAAACAGAGTTGTTCGGGTCAGGTAAGGTGAAGAGTGGGCATGGTAAGAGCCTCCTCATCCACCCCCAAACCACCCCTCTCTCACTGAGTCAACGATGTTCCTGAGATCATAGAATCCACTGTCCACACCAACCACGTGCTCCTCGCTGTCTGCAATTGCCAGGAGCTACAAGGAGAAGCAGAAAACTTGGACCCACAGCAGGGGTGAGGACCAGCAGGACACCATCCCAGTGTTTGGGTTCAGGCTTCATGCTATGTGAGACTCAGTGGCCCACCCTGACCTCGCCAGCAGCCCAACTTTCTGGAATGGAAAGTTCTACCACCTGTTCCCCAGGTGGGCTCATACAACACAGTTACTCATTTCTGCAGTAGTCACATGTTGTCCAGATATTTGGGGTGAGTGGGTTAGAGAACCATCCTCTGGGGGGCCCTGCCAAAGCTTTCCACAATGAGACTTCTCACTTGGCTTCCGTTCTGAATTACCTGATTTTTCACGTAGTTGTTGACACCCACAACGTAAACAGTCCCTCCCAGTTGTCGAGTCCTCTGAGCCTAAGACAAAGACCGTGTTAAGTGCAAATCACTAAACATGTGGAGCAAAGGCTGGTCAAGGTGGGCTGGACTCACTTCATTCTTGGTAGCCTGAAAGGACTCTGGCCAAAGTGCTCCATCAATTAGGGAGACAACCATGGAGTGCACTTTCTTTTCTGTGGGAGAAGCAGGAGGTCCTGGTCAGTAAAGGCGCCCAGAGTGACCTGCCACAGGTGTGAAGGCCGTGCACTGCCCCCGCTTTCTCTCCGGGGAGAAGTTGACACAGCTTCTAGCCCTGGGGACACAAAGGCCAGCAGGAGCATCAGCAGAGGAAAGACAATGAAGGGGAAGGAGGCAGCTCCAGCCATGGGAACACAGCAGAGTGTGGTCAGCAAGGGGAAAATCAAGCTCTTTTCTTCCATAAGCAGAGTCTTGTCTGCCCAAGGTGCCCCCTGGCCTTTCTCCCTTTTCCACAAGCTCAATGTAGGTCAGGTGCCTCATACTTAATAAACACCAGGAATGTACACCCAGGAGCCCACAAATCTCAGAATCATCCGGGAAGCTCAGTTTCCCCTCTGTGCATGGATGAGGACTCTGGACGACATATTGTCAGGAAACTTGCACAAGAGTCAGCTCCAAGTGGGGGCCACCAGACTGCTGTGCTTCGGCCTGACTGTCCAGGATCCCACAGTCTCGAAGTCAGCAGAGCTTACCTCCAGAGTTTACTGTGGAGATCTGCTCATTGACCTGCAAAAACAGGAAGGCATGTTGAGAGGACTCAATGATATTCTGAGCACTTGCTAAAGCAGGATAAATTCTTAGAGCTCTGGCTGTACCGCTTTAAATCCTTCCTGCATGTTTGTGGCTCCGGTAGGCTCTGTGTTGCGTAGTTTGTTGAGACCATCTTCGATTTCTTTTCTAAAAACAATAAAATGGAGTATTGAGGTAGGAAGAAGGGTGGCGTGTTCTCAAACAGCCTGATCTGTGCTGGCACATTCTGCACTGGGCAGACCGACCTGGACGAGGGAGGCGACTGTCAAGAAACCGAGTCATGGGCTTTTCGCCCAGGGTCTTTGGAATTGATCTTGTCTGTACTCATCGTATATCAGGTTCATTGACCAGCAGGCTTCAGGAAGGGCCTGTCTGACCAACAACAGGCAAAGTGGGGAGCAGTTGTGACTGCGCTAGTGTAAACCCGGAACTCACCCTAGCACTGCCAGGACTGCCAGCACCTCAGGGGTCCCCTGTGGGACTCATCACCCTCTACCAGGAAAGGCTGAGTTTGGTAAGGGTCCCTCTGGCAATACCCGTGCCCTCTCCCTTCCTCCCTGCCCTGGATCACTGAGTATGCCTTGGAACCCACAGCCTCCCTCCCTTCAGGATTGGATCTGAAGGAAGCAGCAAAGCTGCTTTGAGTGCTGACTCCCTACTTCAGAGCTCCTGACAGGGAAGACCTAAGGCCAGGGAAGGGGCCATAAGTGCCGCCCATGCAGGCAGGGGAGCAGGGAGCTGCAGATGGCCACACTTTTGTCCTTTACTAGCTCTGCTAAGGTAGATAGCAGGTGGGAGTGGGACACAGGTGGAGGGGGAGCTGGATCAGGCTGAGCCAAGTGAAGATCTGAGCCGGCACAGCAAACCTGGAGTGGCAGAGATTGTCTAGAAACACAGGGGCTGCCAGTTTCAGTGCCGGTGTTATCAGAGGGCCTGGAAGTAGATGCAGGGGGTGCAGGGTGGTCTCTGAGCAGAAGCCAGCCCCGCCCAGGCAGCATGCCTGTGGGCTCCTGACTGAAACTCAGGACACCTCTGCAGAGTTTACCCTATGGCCTCCGTCTCCCCCCTCCCACCACCAGTAGGTCTGCCTTGAGGGAGAGAAGCTGAACTTACTTGTCCGAGGTGAGCTTTAGGACGGTGTGGCCCCTTGTGGAGAAGGTGACGATCGAGACCCGCATGTTCGGGCTGGGGAGGAAGCACGTGTACGTGAGAGTCATAAACAGAGGTTCAAATGACCCCATGAGCAGCCAGGGAGGGGACACCTGCCTGTCTTCACTTCCCTCTAGCCTGTGACCCCTTCCTGAGTTCCAGAAGTTACCATAAATTTAGTAAAGGATTCTGAGGCCAGCAAATGTGTGGCGCTCCAGGGAGACTGTCAGGGTGGTGTCCTCCTCTATCCCTAGATCCCATCCTCTACATTTCTCTCTTTCTCTCTCTCTCTCTCTCTCACACACACACACACACAGGACACACACACACTCACACACAGACACATAAGTGCATGATTCATGCCACACACACACTGGGTGAAGGTCCCTATGCTTGCCCATGAGTAGCCTCCTTCTACTGAAACTTTTTTGGAACCTCATGGCCCTTCCCTCCTGGTCTATGTTTCCTTCCTCCCCCATCTAAGAGACATTATTGTTCCTTCTGCCACTCATTCACATACCTGTATCCCTTTCCTCTCCCTGCCCACTGTCTTCTGGATCACAGGCCCCCTTTGTCTGCTAGAGGATTGCTGTCCTCGTCCCTGATGAGCTCCAAGTAACGGTAGCTCTGTTTCCCACTCATTTTACCCAGAATTATCAGATGTCTTGGAGCACAATCCTCATCACCCACACTCAGCCCAAGTGTCATTTGTTAATTCCTATTGCTCTCTGCAATCCCGACCCCTGGCTTGGCTGTATGAGCCCTTTGGCCTTGACCCCAAGCTGTCCTGTCCCAGTCTCAATGGTACCCCTTTTGTGAGTTAACCCCTCTCTCCCCTAAACAGATCACTCCCTCCACAGGAAGTCTCCTTGATGCTTCTTGTTTCCCTGTTTTTCCTCATTCCTAACAGTCCTAGTTCAAATGTCCATATACTGGGAAAACCATCCTTGAATTTTCTCTTGCTTTTTCTTTACAGTTGCCCTGAGGGTCCTTTGCCATTTTCTTTGGAACTATTTAAAGAAGTTTGTTTTACAGTGTTACTGGTTAGCTGGTTTCTAATCTGTGACATCCTCCAGTCAGTTAGTATTTCCTACACTGGCTTGACACCAAGACTGGAAACACCTGAAGTCTACAGGACCTTTGGAGCCCATGGAAACTGAGTAAACTGCATTTTTGACTGGTTCAGAACTCCACCCGGGGTTCATGCTGCTAATCCAAGATACCCATGCCCACTGGGTCTAAGCAAACAGGCACTCTGCCTGGCATTGCAAACGCCCCACCACATGGAGAAGTCATACTTTTGAAACATTTTGAGGAAATCCTCTACGAAGCCGTATATAACTATCCAGTTGGTGTCCACACTTCCTGACCTGAAAATGAAAAATCAATGGAATAGGGTGAATTCTTTGTGTTAGCAGAGTTTACCTGAAACCATCCAAGAAGCTACTCCCACCCCACCACGCCAGCACACTGGCAGGATGGACGGCACCAATGGAATTTGTGTGCTTGCAACTGGGGGATTCAAGAGTGAGACCCTCTGGAAGCAAACAAGGAGGGTTGGTTGTGCCACACTAGTTCAAGATAAGACATGAAGTAGGGATGCATTTCTGAAAAAACCTCCTGCGTTCTGTATCTCTGACTCTCCCGGTCCTTCGTGTCCTTGGAGAATCACCATGGCCAGCTCTCTGCCTCTTTGTTACCAAGCAGCAAGAAAGGTGTCACCACAAGCCTGTTACGAGACACAAAGCCATAACCTGACAAGATCTCCAAGACGTGCAAGAGCTCTCTCTGAGCTGTGGGATCAGAAGTGGAGAGGGTGGGAAGAAGCCTGGAGATTTTTGCAGTACCTTTCCAACAGTGTTTGATTTTAAATTTGTGTTCATGTATTTACTTGATAATTGTTAAAATAAAATGACAAACAAATACTAGTTTTGTGGCGGGATGTTAACAAAAAGGCAGATTTCAAACTCCAAGTCCTAGTTTCTCAAAACAGAGAAACATTCCCCAGAGAAACAGTCAACAAACAAGCAGAAGCTAGAAAGGGAAGCAGAATGTACACGATGAAAGCCCAGTCTGCAAAGGTAGGCAGAAACAGAAGGAAAACAAAAGCGGTAATGTCAATTTGTTACATTTAGGAAATAACAAGTTGTCAGTAGCAAGTTCTTACGTATCAGTAATCACTCCAATTTTGAATATATTGAATTCATCAAGCAAAGATAGCAGTGAGATTAGGTGGACAGGTAAGGCCAGTTATGGATGGATTGCCTATAGATATGTATTTCACTTTAAAGACAAACAGAGATGGATGTGAAGGGATGAAAGAAGATATTTCATATAGGGGAAATAAAACAATATTGGATAGTCATAATAGACAAGATAGACGTCAAGCCACAATGTTCACATGAGTGAAAGTCATAGTGATAATGAGGTCATCACATCCCAAAGATACTAAAGTGCCCCCAACACCTGTGCACATAAGTATTAACAGGTCTGAAGGGGAAAAAAATAACATATTTGTAGACAACTTCAATACCTGACTTTTCAACAAGGATAAGTCATCCTGAGAGACTCTAGGTTGCTGCCTTCAATTCTGTGACGCTCTTCCTTCCTGGGAAATGGCATATACCTTCCCTGCTCTCCCCCAGGCCTGTCTGAGGATGGCACAGCAGGGAAAGGGCTTTGGAAACAGTCACGTGCTTCCATGAGGTACCGACGTCATACCACGGCTACTACTGAAGAGGTGAAATTAATTCTCAGCCCAACAGAGGGGCTGGAAACGACCAAGGCCGTGTCTCCAAGCCCATGGCCCGGACCCCTTTCCTTCTTCAAGGTCATAAAGGCTTATATAGAGCCCAGCTTTCTCGGGACCACACCCAGAGAGTAAAGTGTTCAGAAAACACATAGATCGTAGAAGAAAGTAGCAAAAACACATAGATAGCAAAGCAAAGATCTTTCTCTGCACTGAGGCTATAGAAGGCCCAGAGACAACTCAGCAGTCTTTCTGGAGTCCAGTAAAAATGGAGTCATTTGGGTTAGAAACACAACAAAGCATAAAATGATAACCAAAAACTCAGGACATTATTAACAAGTGCTGAGAATGGAGCTCCCAGTAATGGCCCCCAAGTCTCTGGCCCGGTAGGAGGTCCACTCACTTGTCCAAGATTAAATAGAGGTCAAGATTGCTCTGGCAGGATTTCTTGTGATCTGCCAGCCTCTCCCTGGACCCCATGTCCTGGCTGTGGCCCTGGCGGGTGCTCTCCCCATCCAGGTTGGTGTTGCTGGGGAGGCTTCTCCTGGCCCGAGTGAGGTGGTGGAAATCTAGCCAGGTCGGGGCTCTGTGCTGGTATGCCCCACTGCTTGGCAGCAGAGGGGGCAAAACCAGCAGGAGCAAGAAAGCAAGTCCAGGCACCCTGAGGCAGCTGCCTCCCATTTCCTTGGCAGCCGGGGAGGCTGCAAGGGACGCTAACCTCTTGAAACAGGCAAGCTGGGACCTACACTCTTTCAAGCAATATACAGGGGCCTATACCCCTTGAATCAAGTCTTTCCTTTAATCAAGTCACAATAGCCTCTACTAGTAGACCTGCACTAAGGGCAGAGTAGGACTATACTGGGTGGAGGCCCCGCTGCCTACCATGGTGTCTCCCTGACCCACAGAGACATAATGCCCTGTGTTGTGACGGACAGGGAGGTTGGCATGGTGACCCTGTGGTGGCCCACTGCAGCTCTGCTCACTGTCTTGCCTACTGACATTCCCAGGGGGGGAGTCAGGGCATCTCTGAAGGGGCTGTGAGAGGAACCTCCATTTGTCCCTTATCCTGAAACCTCACTGATGGCCATTAAAGTTCTCCGGAAGCTGAGTCTTTGCAAACTGCCAGAGCATTGGGCTGGCTCAGACAAGGACATTACTGTGGCTGAGGGGGTCATGGCTATTAGACCAGAGTGTTGTTATCATCATTTGAGTGAAAACTGATGTCTTCTAGGCAGTTGGAGGATCTAAAATTGAAAGGAGTGATGCAATTTTGTTTGTTTAGAAGGGATTCCACTTATCCACTGATGTGAATCACCCACTTCAAACTTACTAAGTCAAATAAGAACCACTTTATCATGCTCATAGTTGCATGGATCAGAAATTGAGAGAGAACTGTACTGCCTTGTTTGCTCCATGGAAATCATTGGAACCCCCTGAACTTTTAATTTTAGAAGCAGCACCCCATCTCTATTCTCCCCAAACCTTTGTAATATTTGATTGCAATAATAGGGATATGGGGATACATGGGAGGGATGTGAATCTGAATCCAGACTCCCCCTATCAGTGTCTCCATAAGCAGGTGTTCAATGTCTTTTATGAAATTTCTGTAAGAGATCTTGACATCTTCTGTCAAGTGCCTTATCTGAATGCCTTATCATTTTACTGCCATTGTTAATGATGTTTAAAAAAATACGGTTTTTAAACTGTTTATTGATAGCACAAATAAATATATTTAACCAGTTTGCTAAAATCTCTTGGTCTAAAACCTTTTCTGTAAAATTGTGTTTCCATGAAAAACCATAAACCAAAAGCTCTGGCTCATTCTCCAGTGAAAAGCCACTAGGTCTTTGTGGTGGTATTCTTCATTGGAAAGAACACTTGTACAATAACTTAAAGATTGATGTTTATTGAAGGCTTTTGGTAGCTACCCTCTTTCTGGTTAGACAATTTCCCTGGCACCCAGAGGGTGTGGGCAGCCATAAGTAAGATTTCCACTAAAACACAAGAGAGCTAGTGAATTTTGAATTTGAGATAAGCCATGAATGTATTTTTTAGTGTAAATATATCCCATAAGGACATGTTTCCAGTGGGCTGGCCCCTAGAAAAGGCCCTCCCCCAGAATGTAATTGTTTCCTAGGTTATCTCTGGCAGCCGCTGATGTCCCAGGCCCAGCATACCCACCCCTCTAAGCTCCAGTGCCCCAGTGCCCCTGACCTTGCTCAATTGAGCCTTATAGGACTTGGCAATCTGCTGCCTCTACTTATTGCTTCTCCGCGTGAGCACATCGGTGATGGCCTGCTTTTTGGTCCTTGCAGGGTTGCACAGTGTGAGCAGCTCCACTGCCCCTGATGGGAGAGGGGTGCTGGGGAAGCCCAGAGAGGAGGGAGGGCAGCTGCTTGTTAGTTCAGTTATGGGGACCTACACCTGCACATCCCCAAAACCAGATGGCTTTCACGATGTAGACAAGACAGCGAGACAGGAAATCCATCCTTTCATGCGCCCTTCCACCCACCACTGTTGAGGCAGAGCACAGGCCAAGACTCCAGTGCTGGAATGTGTGGACCCATTGGTCATCTGGTCAGGACTGAGGGATCAGAAAACTGGGTTTGAGTGTCTGCCAGCAGCCTGACCTCCCTGTCTCTGCTTTCTCATCTGAAAAGAGGAGATAATAGTAAATCTGGGTTGGGAAGCAAGGAGAGGAAAAAACATGCTTTCTAGTTTCTTCTAATGGTGCTTCTTCTTGTACCTATTGGCCATTCCAAGCCAGGTAGGGAGTAAACCCTCCAGGGTTAACAGTAGGAGGGCTCTCTGGTCAGCCATGCAAACCCCAAAGACTCAGATCAGCCCTTTCCTGCTCACAGCACATGGAATTTGGGTACTGGAGACTGAAGAATGGGCCGGCTGATGTGGAGAAGGGAAGTCTCACAAAACCTCTTCAGCTGGTGCCCCGTGAGCACAGTTCAGTCCCTCAAAAGTTCCATCTCCTCTGTACCAGGTGCAAGAGCAACATCATCCCATCCTAAATTCACAGTGGCAAGCAGATGCTCCAGTTTTGTGGGGCATACTATGAGGAAAAAAACCCATCCTTAGTGGAGTGAAGATGCCTGCCCTGGGTGTACAGCATACCCAGGAGATGCCCCGGCCACTCCTCTATTACTTGGGCCCCTCCCCTCCACCCCCAGTTTTGGAGGATAAGTGTAGACCAGTGCTGGAGAAGGTGGGATGTGTATGATTCTCTGCATGTGTGTGTGTGGGGCAGGGAGGGGGTGGTTCTCATAAAATTATGTGGAGGCCCTGACTCCTTGGCTGTCCCTGACTTCACCCTCTTCAGGTCTGTGAGCAGGAGGGCCTGAAGCTTCAGAGCCACAGTGTTGCCAGGGCAAGCCATGGCTGCCATTCACCCATGCCTCTTCATGGCTTTCTAGAGAGACTTTGCATCCAGATCTGGGTTGAAGTGGGGCTGCTCTTCACTGACATACCTTATGTTCAATCTGCAAGACAAACCAGCCTGCTGAGAGTGTGACAGGGAAAGCATTGCGGGCTCCCAGCTTACCTTGGTGTCCACCTGGGCAGGATGGACAGCATGTGTGCCCTGCAGGATGGTGGCTGAGCCTCCAGTGCCTCCTGGCCCTGCCTACTTTGATCCCCTTCCTTTGATGATGGGAGGGTCAAGAAGTCCTTTCGGGTCCAGAGCCACAGCTTCTGGCTATGCCATTGCTGGCAAATATGTGCTAAAAGGGGTGCCCTAGTCCTCTCTGCTCCAAGTTGCCATGTGACCCTCATGTCAGAGTCTCTGAGGCTCCGTGTGCCCATAAGCCACCTTGGCCAGGAGGAGGCCTGTCCTGTCACCTGAGGAACCTGAGACAGGGCTGAGTGGGTGAGCACCTCCCTGAGAGATGGAACCCCAGAGCCAAAGCTGGGTAGTCAGGAATTTGGGCAAAGACCTCAGAGGCAGCTGACACTGTGCTTGTTCCCTACCCACCAGGCTTACTAAGGGCGGCAAGCTGTGCGTATTGAGCCTGGACGGCAGCCTCTGGTGCTGGGAACAAGGAGGAGGGAAGACCAGGGGGATGTCCTGGGAAGGGGCGTGCACAAGAAAGGACCAGCAGGAGCTTGGGGGGCTTTAGTGCTGAAGACAATGAGCCATCAGAGTCTAGCAACAGTTTATCAGGGTTTAGCGCACAACACATCAGGGCTCCCATTCACTGAATATCTTTGCAGGATCCTGTCTGTGCTGTAGTTTTCCCTCCTTCACTCTTCTTGGGTTGAAATGGGAATGCACACCCCCCCAAAGGAGGAGTCTTTGTGGGGTGGGACTATGGTAGCACTGAGTCCTCAGCAGGGCTGTGACTGGGGCCAGTCACTGGGAGGTGTCCGGAATCTACTTGACAAGTGAGTACAGTCATGATACCCAAGAGACTGCTGGCCTGGTTGTAAGGACTTGCTGGTTTCCATTTAGCTCTTCTGGACCACCGCGTCTCCTCTACAGAGAGGCCCTCAATAATAGAGTAGCACCAGTGAGAAACACAGCTTGCAGGAAGAAGGCACTAAAAGCCTCCTGTCCCTCCCCCTGCCCTGGGGTGTGGACTCTGGATCAGGTGGGGTCTATCCTGGCCGGGTCAGGTGAGGACAGGCTGTAGCCCGGACCATACCCAACTTCCTCCAGCACCTTGGGCAGGAAACAACAACCTACCCAGAGCTACTAGGATAATGAGCAAGTGAGGGTAGCAGGGAGCTGAAAAGGCTGCCTTGAGAGCATGCAGGTGAGGTTGAGAAAGTGGGCGAGATTTGCGCTCCCCTGCCCTCTTCCTGCCTGTCTGCATTGTAAGTTGTTGGCTCCTTTCTCATAAACTGCGACAAGGCCAAGGATCAGGAGCCCTTGCTGTTGGGTGGGTTCTCAGTGGATTTGAGGTTCCTGGGATAATAGTAGTCCCTGCAGTAGGGAGTAGTGTCAGCCAGGTGCCCAAGATGGCAGAGAGGGAGGAGGGGATGGGTGATTTGGGGAGAAGGCCAGGGGAGTGGCAGGTGACCTCCATGGCTCCCTGAGGCCTGCAGACCATATACTGGGCAGGATGGGAACTGGCAGAGGGAGGGGCGGAGCCAGCCTTCCAGCACAGAGCTGGGTGCCCCATCTGTGGGTCTGCTGCTCATAGCATGAGCTTGGGTGGGAGGCTGTGAGCTGGGCAAACGTCTGCTGGGTTCCCCCACCCCGACAGCCCCAATGCTCTGAGTACTCTCTCATGTTTCCAGGTTTGAAAGCATCATCTCCAGGGTTCAGAAAGGGAAACTTAGCTTCCATGAGTGACAGCGTGATGACCGAAGGTGGTACGTGATGGGCGTGCTGTCAAGTAAAAGGTGAAACAGAAATCTCAGTCACATGTGTTCCGTGACTGTTATCACTGGTGTTATAAGATGGAATTTTAAATTGGGCCAGTAAACAAAAATTTCTCAGCACCATCTTCTGGAACAATCGTCTCTTCTGTGACATAAACCAAACCAAAATTTGGTCAGGGCCTCACATTGCTTGAAGGGTCTCAGGAGGCAAGTGTGGAGTCACTGCTGGTTCTCGCTATTGAACCTGCCTTTGCTCATGGAGGGAGTCTCTGAATGGGTCAAATTGAAAGTGCTGAGCTCTCCCTTCCCCACATAATTCCAGCACCTTCTATGTGGCCTCCATTGTAAGTTCTCTTATTTCTCTGAAGTGCCTTGTGCCTGGCACTATATACAGCTGGGGAGACAGATGTGCTGGCAGGAAAGGAACAGCCCATGAGGGGCAGATTCTCTCCCTCTCTCTTCTGTGCTGGCCATGGGGGAGACCCCTGTAACCTGTCAGAGGGGTTGGGGTGTGGTGGACAAGGAGAAGCAACTCCAGGTATAAAGGCTTTCAAGGCTAAAAGTCGTGTGACTTATTATATTCCTGCAAATCCATCCACATGCACTTACACAAATCATGGCAGAAATTCTTTTCAAACATGGGGAAAGTTAGTCATCCCTATCCATCCACTCAGTCTACACAGATGAAAAACCCAAACCTGACATATTTCTACCTTTAGCTGTCTGAGAGAAATCCAACTGAAACATAACACAACATTCAAGGATACTGGGTGAGAACAGCGGGCCACAGGGACTGCTGGCCTGGTTCAGTTGGGGGACCCTCCCTCCAGGGCTCATGGGTTCCTCATGGGGTTCCTTGGGTGGTGTGGCTGGCATGTGGGGCAGAGCACAGGACACTGTGAGGATACATGGTGGCAAATAGGGGAGATTCACCTTCTCTTAGGGAAGTGGAGAGAATCTTCTAAAATCCTCCTGGGCTTAGGGGCAGTTCGGGGTATTTGGAAAAAGAAGGTGCATTTTCAGTCGCTGAACTTTAGAAGTTCTTGTGTCTTTTTATGACATATCCAGCAAGGGGTCATCAAAAAATGAAAGAAAAAGGGAGTGAGGGAGGTGAGACAGCTAAGTACTTCTCTCTCCATAAAAATTGGGAAGGAGAAAGGATTGTATGTTTTCTCAAAGACATTCTGGCCTTTTGAAAAGAGCAGAATTTAGCTAAAACCGGTTGTGGCCCAGGCCTTGGTGGCTGACGAAGACCAGGCTGTGGGGAGGGGACTCATCCATGTGCACAGCCAGAGGACACCGGGGTGCTCTGTCCAGGCAGGAGCAGTGTGGCCACATCCTGCACAGCGGAGCAGGGCTGCCCAGGGAACCACTTCTGCTGATGGACCACATCCAACTCCTTTGACTGTAAACCAAGACTCAACACACGTGTCCACTTAAGCACATAAAGAACTTAATCTTGGATTTGCAGGATTTATTGACTGGTCTATGGGGGTAGGAGTGCCAAAGGGATTCCACCACGTTTTCCAACTGGGCCAGGGATCATTGGCAACATCCTGGAGGGCTGCCTGGAGCAGACCGATTGTGGGGGCTGGGAGCATATGGGCCGGGGAGGCCGGGAACATATGAGTGGGGGAGGTCGGCACGGGGCATATGGGCAACACATCCATCAGTAGTCGAGGGGACAGCACGCCAGGCTGTGTTGCAGGCAGCAGCGTGGGTACCTGCGCATCCTCCCACCTCTAGACCTGAGTAAGGGACATGGCTGTGGGAAGAGAAGACAGAGGTCAGTGAGAAGCACTGGAATTGGGAACAGAAACTTCTGGTTTCCTTGGCTTATGGGGGCTGGCCCAAGGCAGGACCTCTGAGGATGCCCTTCCCCTCCCTGGGGACTCCTCCTGCCTGGGCTCCTATCTGAGACTCTGTTCAGGTGTTGGGGTGTGCCCAGCAATCCCAGCCCAAGGGCTCGGACACTGAACTCCTTCTGCTCAGATGTTGACTGTCTCTGCATCCCCTGCCGGGGAGCCTGGGGACTGAGGACATGTTCTGACTCAATGAAGGCCCCAGTTCCCCCAGATTTCCCAGATGTGCTGTGGGGTGTGTCTCCATCCCAGCCAGGAGGGCCTCAGCATGGGAGGCAGCAGCTGACCCACAGCCCTGGTGCAGGGTGGGGATGGAGGCACCCAACACTCCCCATCTGACTGTTCCTCCAGCCTTTTCATTTAAATTTGGAAGTGCTGGGTAATGTTCTAGATTTGTCTCCCCCGCCATCCTTGAGATGAAAATCAAAGAAAACACACGGGGTCCCTGTCTAGACTCAGGTGGGAGTTTCCTGAGCACCACGTCTCATTCTTAGACATTTTCTTGACAGATGCCTGTACCCACACTCCCAGAGGGCCGCTGTCAGGAAATAAAGCAAAGGACGCTGGCCATAGGGAGCATCCCTGTACCCTGTTTACCTTGCGCCTGGGCTATGACATATCACTGGGCTCCGGTTGCGGTTTTGTAATATGTTGCGCACGATCTGCATGTGCAGAGTGTCCAGTTTGTCCTGGAAAGCAGAAGAGCCTGTGAGGAAGCTCTGAGCTGGCTGCTGCCTCCAGCAGGACAGTGTCCCCTCCAGTTCCCAAAAGCACCTGAGCTCTGTCCCCACAAACTCCCTGGGGGAGGATAGTGGCCTTCCTTGTGACAATGGGCCTGCTTTGTAGGTCAGGGTGTGAGTCAGGAATTTTTAGGGATGTGCAAATTAGTATATTTGCAGAACAAGCCAGGAGCTACTAGCAGAGCTAAAGTACAAGGCTGGAGGTGATCTGCGGTGTCTCAGAGGGGAACATGAGGTGCCTGCAGGGTAACTGGGAAGGAGCTAGAAGGAAGGGAGGAGGAGGCCTGCACTCATGAGGCCCACCAGGGAAGGCAGGGAAGGCTCCATGCCCTGAGAGTGTGCAGGGTCCGGCTGACAGAGGGTGGAGAGAAGAGGTGGCTCAGGACAGACCGAGAGTGACCTGGATCCCTGGCGGGGGATCCTAGGGGAGCTCTGGACCCTGCACTCTAGCTCTGCCCTGATGTTGTCAGCGGGGGAGCATGTCCGGGAACAGGAACGAGCCCTTGGTCAGGGCTTCCACCTCTCTGGAAGATGTGTTGGGCACCGCTGTATTGCACACTGAGAGGAAGGCATGGCTGGCTCTCCTGGTGCCATAGAAGCTCCTGGAGGAAGCCATGGCCCCCAAAAAGGACCGAGGCAGGACAAGGAGGACTGGCAAAACCGGGCAGAAATTGTGGGCTCTTTCGTCCTCCACCCCAGCCATGTGGACTCTATTTTGTGCTGGGGCCCCAGTGTGGGAAGTGTCTCAGCAGGGCGGGCCCAGCTCTTGCTGGGGAAGGACATTCCCTTCAGGCCCCTCCTCCATGTGACCCTTGTCATACCTGCTGAGGGCAGGAGGACAAGGCAGCAGCTCCCTCCCTCGCTCTGCTGAGCTGGCTTCTGTGGGTGCCAGGTGCACCAGCATGTCCACCCAATGGGGGAAAGATCTTGACTCAGATTTCCTGCTTTTATTTTCTGACCTTCATGAACCTTGTGATTTGGTTTTAACCCACTGCTACTCCCCAGGAGACCCAAGTCATTAATGGGGCTGATGAGAACCGCTGTGAAAGCAGTGATTCCATAAACGGGAGCCCCTTGAGGGGAGAGCCTGGTATTAGAGCCAAGTGAGTACAGCTCAGTGCCCTGAACACTCCTCTCCATCCAAGCCACACCTTCTGGGCCCAACTCTCCTTCAGAGCCCGACCTGCCACAGCTCCCTCCTACTGGTCCATCTCACCTTTAGTTGTCTTAGTTTGTCATCTCCACAAGGGACCACCACCGTGGGGCACGTTTGTAAACAAGGTTCCTAGGAAGAGAACGCTTTTGTCTGGCAGTTCTGGGGTTCAGAGACATGAATTGTTCCCCTGGCACCTGTCAACTTCTGGCCCCTCAGCTAAAGTTTGTTGGGAGGATTCAAGGACAACTGATTAGCAGCACTCTGTGCTGCAGGGGAGGCCTTCCGTGGGAAGCACAAGCAACCTCTACATATTTGGCAGGGAACATCCTTCCCCAAATGGACAGCAAATTTTCCCAGGCCACCTGGGTTTCTGAGCTGCCCTTTGGAGAGGCCTGGTCTTGGGGTTGTACAATTGAAAGGTGGACATTGGGGAGGAGCATCAGCAGAGGCTGATTGGCCTGGTACTGGCAGATGCAGCCTCCTTGACCAGAGTGCAGCAGCACCGAAGGCAGCCTCTGAGTGGGGCCTGCTTCCTAGGTCTCCCAGTTATAGGTCACAGTGGCCCTGCTGTGCAAATTCTATGGGTCCATTTGGGCTTCCTTAACTGGGAGAGCCACAGGCAGCTTAGCTGACTTGGTCCCTGGTGTACTTGGCCTGGGCCTCCCTCACAGCTTATGGGAGGACTGACTCCCTCCACCTTCCTCAGCTCTTAAGTGCCCAAAGGACAAACCCAGTCAATCCCTCAGCCAGCCAGGAGACAGGGAGGAAACCAAAGAAATGCAACCCAACAGGATGAGAGACTGCACTGGGGTGACCAGTACTGGAACCCTGAGGTTCCCTTTCCAACTGCTCACTTAACCCAGGGAAGGACCAGCCGATGAACAATCTTTGGGAACTGACACACAAAACCAAAAGGAAAGCCCTGGTCATGTCACTGTGGATCATGGCACTTGCTGCAACAGCTACTGCAATTTATAATGTGACCGAGGCTCTGGATCAGACCGTTGGGAGCATGGAGAGGGTGTTCTCGGATGCCATTTTGTGAGTCTAGGTCCTCCCACCTGTCCCTCCCTGCCCCTCTGTCACCCTGCTTTCTGCCAGCTCTCTCTGTCCAGGTAGGAGGAGATGGTGGGTGGGAAATACAGATATCCTACAGCTCAGGCGGTTTCCTTGTGCAGGTCTGTGTGGGCATCAGAAACAAAACACAACTCACCACCATCTTGTTCTAGAACGTGAAAAGAGAAACAAGGATGAAAGTTTTTTGCAGGGCTTTGGGTGATTACACAGGCAGGAGGGGACTCTGCTCAGCGGGAGTGAGTGAGAACGTGGCTTTGGGTGTCACTGTGGATGCCCACCCCAGCGGTTGGTGGCCAGCAGGCTGCATGTCCCTGAGCACCTGACTCCTCAGTTTTCTGAGGGACTCGGTACCTTCTAGGTCCTGCTAGCTCCTGGCTGCTGCTGTGCCTTCCCCTATGCTCCTCCTTCTCTCTCCATCCGGCAGTGACCTTGCCACGGCCACCGTGCCCTGCTGTCCCTCTCTTCTCGGTCAGGGTGTCCTCTGCTATTGCTCTGCTCTATCAGGGCACGTGGTCTCCACAAGGTGGCATTGCGTGGTCCACCTCATGCCTGCTCAGGTACCAACGCCAGCCCAGACCCCAGACTGAAGCTGCTGTGGACAGGCTGGCAGCTGCTTCCTTTCTGTCCCTGTGTGTCCAGTATGGGCAGCATCCCCTGGCACTCAAGAAGAAGATGAGGGAGGTCGTAGCCGCCCAGAGAATGTGCAGACACCGTGTTGGTTTCTAAAGCTCAGCTGCCCAGAGCTTGGGAGTCCTGTTCATTCTGTGTCCCTACAGGGCCCCTGCTTCTTCCCTCAACAGCACAGTCCTCCTCCCGGCCTCCTGTCCACCTGAGCGCTCAGAACCCGGGGGCCATGAGGCAGCTTGCCAGAGATTGCGGGCCCTTATCCCCATGGACTACGCCGCCCATGGCCACAGGCTGTGCTAGCACGAGGCAGGAGGCCTGCCAGGTTGTCTCTCTGCCTGGGACTGGAGGGCAGAGTCTGTGTCTCCCTTTGCTCCTTGAAGACTGCACTGAGGGAGCAGCACAGACCCAGGAGTGCATGTGTCAGGTCCCTAGGAGAGTTGTCTGGGCTCAGGGAATTGTGCAGCTTGGGGCACTCACCTTTCTGCGGTGTAGCCACAAGCACCCTATCATCAGTATTAGGACCAGCATGCACGCAGCCAAGTGGTAAGGGTTGATGTTGGGGAACTGTATGCCTTGATTTCCGGGACCTGCTGCTGCCGCATTGGAAAGGTCAGGTGGCTGCACATTGCAGAGAGAAAACACCAGGAGTGTGGGCCTGGGGCCTCTCGATTCCCACTGCTGAGCACACATTCTAGACTCCCATCAGCCCACTCCCATTCTCAGCAGGTTGCCACCTGGGCGGAACACAGTACTAGAGCCAACTATGCTCAGCGCCCACCGTGGAGGTGGGACACACCTGCCCCACTGGCCGTGCTCAGAGGCTAAGCCAGAGCCCAGTCAGGAAACCAGAATCCTTGAGGAGTGACCAGCCCAGCCCCAACCCCAAGCCCTGGCTGACAGTGCAGGGACACACAATTGTACACATACACAGATGGGTTTCTGGGGGAGTGTGGGGCCCCCTGAGATTTGCGGGTTCAAGGGCAGAGCAGGAGACCCAGGATCATTGCACATGAGGGCCTCCCTGTCTTATAGATTCTGAGCTGTGGGCTGATAGCCTCCATCTCTCTGCACCTCCGTGTCCACATGTGAGCTGGAGGTGAGAGAATCGTGAGGTGTGGAGGGTCATCGGAGTCCTGGCACAGGCCAGGTCCATGTGGGACTGAGAGAAGGGGCTGTCTCTGGCTGTGGTTCTGAATCTGGGGTGAGTGGGGCTCAGGTGGGACCCCACGCAGTCTCTGCTCAGAGCAGCAGGCGAGGGGGCGGGAGAGAGGTGTGGTGCCCAGGGACAGGGTGGCAGAGAGAACGGCAAGGTCAGAACTGCTCACCTGTGGTACCTGGGCCAGCCCTGCGTTTCTCCTGAGGACTTTCCTCATGGGCCTGATGACAGACGAGCTGTGGGTCGGCGGGACTCCTGAGGGGCTGATGTCCGTCCTCTGGCTGGTCTGAGCAGATGTGCAGACACAATGCAGACAACACAGAGATGTCAGCTGGTGGGGACCCTCACAAGCAGGTACAAGACACGGGGCTCTGCCAATCGGGCACCAAAGCCCTGCTCCCCATCACACTCTTCTCCAGCCTAATGCTTGCCACTGCCATGCCTCACTGCCCTGGGCTTCGGTGCCCAGATGATGGGGGACATGGAAAGAGCTTGTCACTTTCCTTCCCCGGTGTCCCTAGCTGAGATGACTCCTGATCCCTCCCAGGGCCCTGATAGCTTCTCCAGCAGCTGAGAAGAGAGATGTAGGGAGAGCTGCAGCCAGGACAGCTGAGGAGTGTGGGAAAGGAGGAAGGAGGGGAGGGGGCCAAAGGCATCTGAAAAATGACAGCCAGTGTCCCTCAGGGTCCCAGGGGCTGAGATGGTCACACACCGGGCACCAATGCAGAGGAAACGCACCCTGACTGTGCAGGGCCCAGCTGTCCCCTCCACATCCCCTGTGCCTGCAGCCTGCTGGGAAGGCCCGGTGCCCAGATCCTGCAGTCTGGTTCCTTGCACAGAACCTCCTAGCATCCCCCACTGACCCCCGCTGGATTAAGATGGTTCCCCAACTTCCCCACCACAGACCAGGTTAGGGTTGCTGGCCAGGCGGTATTTAGGCTGGGAAGATCCTCAACACCATTTCTGGAACCTGCTTGGGTCTCTCATTTCTCCCTTGTACCTGCCTTCAATGACTGTGTTCAGAGAGCAGAGGTCGTCTGTCATGCTAAGCTGGCTGCACTCCAGGGCTCCTAGACGCCACTCAGACATGTCCCAGCTCTGATGAAGGGCTAAGGGCATAATTGGCGGGAGATGCCGCCCAGTACTACTGGCACCTGCTACTTGCTAGGCCTGTCCTGAGACTCATCCTCTGTCTTGCCTCCCAAAATGACACCCTCCCCAGGGCAGACTTCTGGGTAGCCCAGAGGGGGACCATGTACTTACCCTGTGACCTCCACAGTCCTTGCTGCTGATCTTGAGCCCATTGCTGATGAAGCTGGCACCGTTGTTCAGGCTCACTTCAACAGAGATCTCGCTAAACACAGAAAGGACAGATGGGGACCACAGGTGCAGGTCGGCACAGCTCTTGGTTTCTGCTCAAACCGTAGCCCACAGTTCTCCCTAATGTGATGGCTTTGAACATCAGGCATTCGGGTCTACTGGAGGGCAGACGGCCTGGGAGGAGACCCCACCCCAAGTCCCATGAGGTCCACCTCTGTGATGAGGATGACCAGTGATGGGCTCTGCATGGGGTGAGATGCTTTGTGGTCACGAGCTCAGTGACCAGGGAGGCTGTGTAGTGTCACCATCCTGACTCTTGTGTATTTGTATTGTGCTGGCTCCGCTCTGAAGGCTGCTGGGAGTAGTCGAGCCCACCTGGGTCCCTCATCTTCCACGTCCTGTCCTCAGCATGGGCTGCAGCACAGCAGGTCCCTGAGCTCATCGGGGGATCACCAAGACAGGTTAGTCAGGATGATTGCCCTGATGCGTTTCAGAGCACGTCACATGCTGCCCAGCAGAGGTGGCCCCACATTCTGCATCTCTTGGGGCCAAAATGCCTGCCTGTCCCAGAATGGCACTTACTTGGCTGGTACCTCCATCATCACTCCCGGACACTTTATGCTGGTGTCTTCCACCTGGGTGGCTTTTTTATCTAAAGCAAATGAGATAGGAAGAAAGCCAGTGGACGTGCCCATCCAACCCCCGCTCCCATGTGCCTGCCCTTGGCTGGTGCGGCTCTGCAGGGCAGATGCAGCGTCTCCTCTCTGCCCTCTCAGCAGCTGCCCGCACCAGCAAGGGTTCAGTGGGATCCGGCTCTCCAGGGCTTATGTTTGTGGGGCTGGCGGGAAAGCAGGCAATAAAACACAAACAAATTAAATAAACTGCCTAGAATTGAAATTGTGACATAAACGTACAAGGTTGGGACACGGAATGGAGGGATCAGGCAGGTGCTCGGAACAAGGTGATCTGTGCAGTCTTGATGAAAATTGAAATATTTATGCATTCAATGAATTCATGCTGGTATTTGCTTCAAAAAACTGATTATTATATTTTGGTAATTACTGATATTAAGAGATGCTGTTTCAAGTTCTTTTTTCAATAATTCTATTTTTTTTACATTTTTTGAACATTTACATTAAATGGAGCTGAGTGTGATGAGTGAAAGCCAGGGTAAGGGTTCCAGGGCAGAGTGGTTTGCCCTGTGGGAACAGCAAGTGTCAAGGCCCTGAGGTTCTACGACCTGACCTTGTTGCATACGTAAGATTGAACGTGGAACAGAACTCTTGGTCCTAGAAGAGTTTGGGTTTTAATCTAAGGACAATGAGTCTGTTGAGGGGTGAGCCATCTCAGCACATGCTTTAGACATCAAAGAAGTAAGACCTATCCTGGACTGCATATGGGTATAAAAGCAAAGAGAGTTCAAGGATGACATGCAGGTTTTGACCAGATTGACTGGGTGATGGTGATACTATTTACTGACAAAGGGAATTTCTGAGGATGGGACTGTGATTTTCCTCCTTTGCGTTTGTTTACTGTTATTTTATTTGAGCATGGCAGTCACAAGACTCAAAAGAGCACCCTGAGTTATAGTTGTGGATCCTGCTTATCTGAGTTCCAATACTTTCCACCCCTGAACTGTGCCCAAGTGGTGAAGGCCCAGCTGCCATTGCAGTCTGACTTACCCCTCCACACACCCTGGTCAGCTCCACAGGGAGCCACTCCTCCATCATGGAGGAACACCCGAGGTGCGAGTGTCGCCAGATAACAGGCTTCCATATGTCGCAGAGCTTACTTAGCGCAGCTGTTATATTGCTCCCGCTTCGCAGTAGAGAAAATAGAGCAAGAAGGGAACTTTCACATGGTCAAGGGCACACAGGAATGTGTTCTGTGCCACATCTCAGGACCTGGACCTGGTACTTGGCCGCCTCTCTCAATTGAAGGTGAATACACCCTCCTGGGAAAGCTACCAGTGCACCTGGCAGGTACTCAGAGCCCAGGACTGCTATCAGTTCTACCTGGCTGACTCCGGAGATTGGGGTCCTTGTCTCTCAGGGAAAGTGAGAGATGAGGAAACCGCAGGGGACGCAACTCTGAGGGAAGACCCTCCTCACAGGGAGCAGCCCTGACCCCAGAACCTGTTGTGGCTCTGGGGCTGGATGGTCTCACCCACGTCCCTCCTTCCACTCTCGGTGCTGCCTCTATCCTCACAGCACCCATAGGGAATGGGCATCAAGTGTTTGGAGGCATGGTGCCTGAGGGAGACGGCGTCTGTGGGAAATCTGTTACTTTTACAAATCAGAGAGGTACTTACCGAAAAATATGGTGTCACTTATTTGAATTCTGCAAAGAACTTCTTTTTTGTTGTTGGTGTTATGAAAACCTCTTCCAAAGACGCCTACATCATAGTTTTCTGCAAGGGCAACATCCAAAGATGTGTGTAAGGAGGGACTGAGTTCTGTTGTCTGCTGATCTCATCACTATGGCAGTGTACCCCCAAATGGAGCCCCCAAGGGACTCCTGCAGGAGACAGCTGTTCTGAACCAACATCTGGGTGTCTCCTGAGGCTCACCTGGTGTTTCTGAGGGGCCACAGTGAGGAGGCTGGTGGAGCTCTCGGGTACTGTCCCCACAGCTGCTAACCAGCACAGCCCATTCAAGGCTCCACCTGGACCCAACCATGAGCAAACCCATCATGGCTTTCCAATCTCTAAGTCCTGAGGCTCCCTAAGGGGTGCAGGCAGTGCTTTCCAGCCTCTACCAGACTGTCACCATAAAGGAGAGTGGAGCAAGACAGTGCAGGCTGCACCACTCTGCCTCTTGCCTGAAGTGAGCAGACTGGTCTGGCTGCTTGTGAAATGATTTTACGTTTGGGGGGCTGTTTCTCTTCCCTATTTTCTGTGTGCCTATGGCAGACTGAGGAGCTGAGGAATAAGGTGGGACCCCGGGGAGACAAGCATGGAGCAGCTGATTCTGTACCAAAGAATACCCCTTCCCTTAGCTGTGAGGGAACAGGATTGTTGAACGTGATTGTAATTCCTCCACATATTGATCCTCGGGGGCCTCCTCACTTCCCTGCCCAGGGATTCATGGAAAGCTCTTCCTTCTGCTGTGTGGGGAGTGACTTGCTAAGGGACATCTGTCCTACCCCTTGATTGGACACTGGGGATCCCCTCCCCTGGAACAAATGCCAGGGAACACAGTGACGGCAGCTGTGGGTTTGGCTGCAGAGATTTACACAAGATGCAGGGAAGGCCTTCTTGCTGTATGTCAAGGTCATTATTCTCCACTGGTGCCTCAGTCTCATGTCTAGCTAATTCCAGTGCCCTGAGCTTGATTTGCCCAGTTGATACAGTCAATTAATGGAGGAACCAGTCCTAGAATTGCCAGCACCACCGTGAACTTGGCAGTTTGGATTTCTCTTGGATCAAGCCCTCCTCCAGCCATCATCAGTGTGATGGTTGCAAATTCTGTGCTTTGAAGAAAACAGACTCTAGGGCTTTGGGCAGAAGTGCGCCTGCTGATTAGTTTTGTAGGCCTTCAAGTGTCTTCAAAAACAATGGGATTCCATGCTTGACTATCAGTACATTTCCCCTGAAATTTCAGATAAAAATCTTTTCTGGAAAATAGAACACCCGTCATTGTTGCATTTGTGGATTTGCATGTCAGTATGTCTGGGAATGGAGTGACTGTCTTCAGAGGTAGACTCTCTCAGGGACCCATGCCCTGCCTGCCCTCCTCACACCACAGCCAGTCATCCTTGGACTAACATGGCTCACTCATCTTGCTGATGTCCCTGTGTGGACCCTGAGCATACCTGCTGGCAGTGCCCCTGTCCTAACAAGGGCCTGAACCACAGGAGCAGGGGGAGTGCAGAGTCTTTGAAACAGAGAGAGCAGGAACGTCAGCTGAGTGTCCTGTGCTAAGAAATCAAGCATGTGGTACACTCAGGTGGGCTGATGTCCCGACGCCTCAGGCCCTTTCCCACACAGAGTGGCTCAGTGCAGCTTCTCTAGCCACTTCTGCCAGGCTGCACCCTCACGGCTCACTCTTCAGCAGGGCCTGCCCACCATGACAAGGCTGCATAGTGAGCCTGGAAGGAGCTGTTGGGATATCTCTGCCCGCATCCTCATCCCCACATGCAGTTTGGCACAGCCTCTTTGGGAGAAAATCCACCTCTTGGCCCCCTTTGAATCTGTTCTCTCCTATTGTGGCTATTCTCATTCTGCTTCACCCCAGGGAAGTTCTCAAATGCCCACAAAGAGGTCCTAACCAGGATGTGCCTGGGGCAGGGACTGTGTCCCAACTTATCAGGAAGTATCTGAATATCAATCAAGGACACCAAGGAAAGAGGTTTGGCTTTGCATACTTTGAAAGGGTGGACAATCTAATGTTCCATGTGCCCTCGTTTATTAAAAATGCCCTTTGGAAGTGTATGTAGATGGGAGGTTAGCATATAGGATCACCTATTCATGGTCGTTATATTTGGTAGAGCTCCAATGGGAGAGAGTGGAGAGCAGCTGCCGCCAGGATGCAGGGGACTGAGGGGCAGCTGTGATGGTGTGTGTCTTCACAGGGGCTGTGTTATGCAGGTGTGTGTGTGCATCTGTGAGACTCACACATAACATACCTGCAATGCGAAGATGCGTGCATTTCAAAAAGACAACTCGGGAAAATGGTCCCTTGTTTATCATAATCAAAATGACAAAGTTGGGGGTAGAAGAGGCTGATGACTCTAATTTACTTTGGAAACCTTCAAAAATCAGACGGACTGTTGGAGTCAGAAAGAGAGAGAGGGAGCTAGATAGATAAGTGATAATCTGATAGCTGTTAATGGAGAAATCCAGTGAGAGGATCTCCTGTAGATTGCTTCCATTTGCTGTAGGTTTGAAAAATGTGCAGACTAAAAGATTCAAAGACAATTAGTTTAAATGAGAAAAGCAAGCCTTACAGTTAAGCAGTAGTCATGGTATTACTACTTGACAAGTGAAGAATTAGAGGCATCTGGGCAGAGCAGGTGGCGGCGGTTGACTAGAGGACAGTTTACAAGGACAGAGCAGGGATTGCTGGGCCAGGCTGGCAGGGGGTGTGGGGAGGGCTCCTGTCACCTTGGGTGGGTACGATTGGTCTCCCCACCTGTCTGTGTTCACATGCTGCTCAGACACTCCTGCCTGGGTGTCTCCCTGGACATGCCCAGAGAAACCAGGCTGCCAGTTGCCTCCACGGGTGGGGACTTAAAACAAGGAAAGACCCATGTGTGCTGTGGGTGGTGGGGGCAAGTGTGTTTCTAACCCAGCCCACTTGAGGCACTGCAGGTTACAGGTTCAGAGAAGTCAGGATGAGTCTGAGAGACTCTTCCATCCTGGAAGCTCTGTAGCCACGCCCTCCCCACCTGGGCAAGCATGGGCAGCGGAGCCATGGTCAGTCATGGGGATATGAGCGCCACGACTCTTCCTTAAGTCTCCCTGCTTCTATTCTGAGCTGGTCCCTGCACAGTCCACTGGCCTCCCCTCTCTCACATTGGGGAGAGTGGGTATTGATCTTTCTGTCTTTCTGCCTCTTGTGGACAGCTGAGCATCTGGCAGATCTGGGTCCCTGCTTCCTGTGCTGGCCACGGGCAGCAGAGCTCAGCTGGAGCAGCCTTCTGTCTGACCTGGGTGAGGGTGCTCCAGCCTTCCCGGCAAGGACACAGAGGCAGAGCCAGCTGTCTGGGTCGGGACGTGGTGGGTCAGGCTGTGTGCTGTTCCCGGGAAGGGAGTGCTTACCCGTGGGGCTCAGCTGTGTACTCCAGGGCTATGGCAGTACAACCTGCACTGAAAACCCTTCCAGAGAGAGGCCTTTTCACCTCAGGCAGTACCTGGACGTCCTCACTATAGTGCTGCGGGACCCTCTGGGGGAGCAGGCATCCTTGTCTTGGTCCAACTCTCAGGAGAGGCCTTCCTATTAACCCTGAAGCTCATGTAGCTGGGAGTGATTGCGTGGAGGGACATTGCCCTTATTAGGACACTGGACATTGAAAAATTTCTTCAGACACTGAAATCATCATTTCTTCTTCTTCATTTTGCTGATGGGAAGAATACACTGATGTTTCAACTCTATATCAGCCCTGTGCTTCTGGGGTGATCCCAAACTGGCTCTGAAATATTTTACTTGTCAGATCTTCTTCGGTTTCATTGCTACTGTATTATTTTTTCCTCATTTTTAAATTAAACTTTTGATTTTGTGATTAAAAAAAGAATTATACAATCTTATTGTGCTAATCACTTCAAGTTTTATATGTCAAACCATTATGTGATATACCTTCACCTTACATAGAACTGTATGTCAACTCTCGTTCATGCATACTGGGAATAAGAGCATTTCCACGTGTGTATTTATATCACACATTTAAACTGCACAGTACACTACATCCATCACACACACCCGAGCACAATGTACAACTCACACAAGCACACATGCCTCTGTTTAGAATAGAGACCCAGCTCTTACCTCCCACACAGTAATCGGTCGGTCCCACACTTGTAAGCTCAATGCAGGCCTTAGCTGCGAGCTGAAACAGAGAGTTGTTCGGGTCAGGTAAGGTGAAGAGTGGGCATGGTAAGAGCCTCCTCATCCACCCCCAAACCACCCCTCTCTCACTGAGTCAACGATGTTCCTGAGATCATAGAATCCACTGTCCACACCAACCACGTGCTCCTCGCTGTCTGCAATTGCCAGGAGCTACAAGGAGAAGCAGAAAACTTGGACCCACAGCAGGGGTGAGGACCAGCAGGACACCATCCCAGTGTTTGGGTTCAGGCTTCATGCTATGTGAGACTCAGTGGCCCACCCTGACCTCGCCAGCAGCCCAACTTTCTGGAATGGAAAGTTCTACCACCTGTTCCCCAGGTGGGCTCATACAACACAGTTACTCATTTCTGCAGTAGTCACATGTTGTCCAGATATTTGGGGTGAGTGGGTTAGAGAACCATCCTCTGGGGGGCCCTGCCAAAGCTTTCCACAATGAGACTTCTCACTTGGCTTCCGTTCTGAATTACCTGATTTTTCACGTAGTTGTTGACACCCACAACGTAAACAGTCCCTCCCAGTTGTCGAGTCCTCTGAGCCTAAGACAAAGACCGTGTTAAGTGCAAATCACTAAACATGTGGAGCAAAGGCTGGTCAAGGTGGGCTGGACTCACTTCATTCTTGGTAGCCTGAAAGGACTCTGGCCAAAGTGCTCCATCAATTAGGGAGACAACCATGGAGTGCACTTTCTTTTCTGTGGGAGAAGCAGGAGGTCCTGGTCAGTAAAGGCGCCCAGAGTGACCTGCCACAGGTGTGAAGGCCGTGCACTGCCCCCGCTTTCTCTCCGGGGAGAAGTTGACACAGCTTCTAGCCCTGGGGACACAAAGGCCAGCAGGAGCATCAGCAGAGGAAAGACAATGAAGGGGAAGGAGGCAGCTCCAGCCATGGGAACACAGCAGAGTGTGGTCAGCAAGGGGAAAATCAAGCTCTTTTCTTCCATAAGCAGAGTCTTGTCTGCCCAAGGTGCCCCCTGGCCTTTCTCCCTTTTCCACAAGCTCAATGTAGGTCAGGTGCCTCATACTTAATAAACACCAGGAATGTACACCCAGGAGCCCACAAGTCTCAGAATCATCCGGGAAGCTCAGTTTCCCCTCTGTGCATGGATGAGGACTCTGGACGACATATTGTCAGGAAACTTGCACAAGAGTCAGCTCCAAGTGGGGGCCACCAGACTGCTGTTCTTCGGCCTGACTGTCCAGGATCCCACAGTCTCGAAGTCAGCAGAGCTTACCTCCAGAGTTTACTGTGGAGATCTGCTCATTGACCTGCAAAAACAGGAAGGCATGTTGAGAGGACTCAATGATATTCTGAGCACTTGCTAAAGCAGGATAAATTCTTAGAGCTCTGGCTGTACCGCTTTAAATCCTTCCTGCATGTTTGTGGCTCCGGTAGGCTCTGTGTTGCGTAGTTTGTTGAGACCATCTTCGATTTCTTTTCTAAAAACAATAAAATGGAGTATTGAGGTAGGAAGAAGGGTGGCGTGTTCTCAAACAGCCTGATCTGTGCTGGCACATTCTGCACTGGGCAGACCGACCTGGACGAGGGAGGCGACTGTCAAGAAACCGAGTCATGGGCTTTTCGCCCAGGGTCTTTGGAATTGATCTTGTCTGTACTCATCGTATATCAGGTTCATTGACCAGCAGGCTTCAGGAAGGGCCTGTCTGACCAACAACAGGCAAAGTGGGGAGCAGTTGTGACTGCGCTAGTGTAAACCCGGAACTCACCCTAGCACTGCCAGGACTGCCAGCACCTCAGGGGTCCCCTGTGGGACTCATCACCCTCTACCAGGAAAGGCTGAGTTTGGTAAGGGTCCCTCTGGCAATACCCGTGCCCTCTCCCTTCCTCCCTGCCCTGGATCACTGAGTATGCCTTGGAACCCACAGCCTCCCTCCCTTCAGGATTGGATCTGAAGGAAGCAGCAAAGCTGCTTTGAGTGCTGACTCCCTACTTCAGAGCTCCTGACAGGGAAGACCTAAGGCCAGGGAAGGGGCCATAAGTGCCGCCCATGCAGGCAGGGGAGCAGGGAGCTGCAGATGGCCACACTTTTGTCCTTTACTAGCTCTGCTAAGGTAGATAGCAGGTGGGAGTGGGACACAGGTGGAGGGGGAGCTGGATCAGGCTGAGCCAAGTGAAGATCTGAGCCGGCACAGCAAACCTGGAGTGGCAGAGATTGTCTAGAAACACAGGGGCTGCCAGTTTCAGTGCCGGTGTTATCAGAGGGCCTGGAAGTAGATGCAGGGGGTGCAGGGTGGTCTCTGAGCAGAAGCCAGCCCCGCCCAGGCAGCATGCCTGTGGGCTCCTGACTGAAACTCAGGACACCTCTGCAGAGTTTACCCTATGGCCTCCGTCTCCCCCCTCCCACCACCAGTAGGTCTCCCTTGAGGGAGAGAAGCTGAACTTACTTGTCCGAGGTGAGCTTTAGGACGGTGTGGCCCCTTGTGGAGAAGGTGACGATCGAGACCCGCATGTTCGGGCTGGGGAGGAAGCACGTGTACGTGAGAGTCATAAACAGAGGTTCAAATGACCCCATGAGCAGCCAGGGAGGGGACACCTGCCTGTCTTCACTTCCCTCTAGCCTGTGACCCCTTCCTGAGTTCCAGAAGTTACCATAAATTTAGTAAAGGATTCTGAGGCCAGCAAATGTGTGGCGCTCCAGGGAGACTGTCAGGGTGGTGTCCTCCTCTATCCCTAGATCCCATCCTCTACATTTCTCTCTTTCTCTCTCTCTCTCTCTCTCACACACACACACACAGGACACACACACACTCACACACAGACACATAAGTGCATGATTCATGCCACACACACACTGGGTGAAGGTCCCTATGCTTGCCCATGAGTAGCCTCCTTCTACTGAAACTTTTTTGGAACCTCATGGCCCTTCCCTCCTGGTCTATGTTTCCTTCCTCCCCCATCTAAGAGACATTATTGTTCCTTCTGCCACTCATTCACATACCTGTATCCCTTTCCTCTCCCTGCCCACTGTCTTCTGGGTCACAGGCCCCCTTTGTCTGCTAGAGGATTGCTGTCCTCGTCCCTGATGAGCTCCAAGTAACGGTAGCTCTGTTTCCCACTCATTTTACCCAGAATTATCAGATGTCTTGGAGCACAATCCTCATCACCCACACTCAGCCCAAGTGTCATTTGTTAATTCCTATTGCTCTCTGCAATCCCGACCCCTGGCTTGGCTGTATGAGCCCTTTGGCCTTGACCCCAAGCTGTCCTGTCCCAGTCTCAATGGTACCCCTTTTGTGAGTTAACCCCTCTCTCCCCTAAACAGATCACTCCCTCCACAGGAAGTCTCCTTGATGCTTCTTGTTTCCCTGTTTTTCCTCATTCCTAACAGTCCTAGTTCAAATGTCCATATACTGGGAAAACCATCCTTGAATTTTCTCTTGCTTTTTCTTTACAGTTGCCCTGAGGGTCCTTTGCCATTTTCTTTGGAACTATTTAAAGAAGTTTGTTTTACAGTGTTACTGGTTAGCTGGTTTCTAATCTGTGACATCCTCCAGTCAGTTAGTATTTCCTACACTGGCTTGACACCAAGACTGGAAACACCTGAAGTCTACAGGACCTTTGGAGCCCATGGAAACTGAGTAAACTGCATTTTTGACTGGTTCAGAACTCCACCCGGGGTTCATGCTGCTAATCCAAGATACCCATGCCCACTGGGTCTAAGCAAACAGGCACTCTGCCTGGCATTGCAAACGCCCCACCACATGGAGAAGTCATACTTTTGAAACATTTTGAGGAAATCCTCTACGAAGCCGTATATAACTATCCAGTTGGTGTCCACACTTCCTGACCTGAAAATGAAAAATCAATGGAATAGGGTGAATTCTTTGTGTTAGCAGAGTTTACCTGAAACCATCCAAGAAGCTACTCCCACCCACCACGCCAGCACACTGGCAGGATGGACGGCACCAATGGAATTTGTGTGCTTGCAACTGGGGGATTCAAGAGTGAGACCCTCTGGAAGCAAACAAGGAGGGTTGGTTGTGCACACACTAGTTCTAGATAAGACATGAAGGAGGATGCATTTCTGAAAAAACCTCCTGCGTTCTGTATCTCTGACTCTCCCGGTCCTTCGTGTCCTTGGAGAATCACCATGGCCAGCTCTCTGCCTCTTTGTTACCAAGCAGCAAGAAAGGTGTCACCACAAGCCTGTTACGAGACACAAAGCCATAACCTGACAAGATCTCCAAGACGTGCAAGAGCTCTCTCTGAGCTGTGGGATCAGAAGTGGAGAGGGTGGGAAGAAGCCTGGAGATTTTTGCAGTACCTTTCCAACAGTGTTTGATTTTAAATTTGTGTTCATGTATTTACTTGATAATTGTTAAAATAAAATGACAAACAAATACTAGTTTTGTGGCGGGATGTTAACAAAAAGGCAGATTTCAAACTCCAAGTCCTAGTTTCTCAAAACAGAGAAACATTCCCCAGAGAAACAGTCAACAAACAAGCAGAAGCTAGAAAGGGAAGCAGAATGTACACGATGAAAGCCCAGTCTGCAAAGGTAGGCAGAAACAGAAGGAAAACAAAAGCGGTAATGTCAATTTGTTACATTTAGGAAATAACAAGTTGTCAGTAGCAAGTTCTTACGTATCAGTAATCACTCCAATTTTGAATATATTGAATTCATCAAGCAAAGATAGCAGTGAGATTAGGTGGACAGGTAAGGCCAGTTATGGATGGATTGCCTATGGATATGTATTTCACTTTAAAGACAAACAGGGATGGATGTGAAGGGATGAAAGAAGATATTTCATATAGGGGAAATAAAACAATATTGGATAGTCATAATAGACAAGATAGACGTCAAGCCACAATGTTCACATGAGTGAAAGTCATAGTGATAATGAGGTCATCACATCCCAAAGATACTAAAGTGCCCCCAACACCTGTGCACATAAGTATTAACAGGTCTGAAGGGGAAAAAAATAACATATTTGTAGACAACTTCAATACCTGACTTTTCAACAAGGATAAGTCATCCTGAGAGACTCTAGGTTGCTGCCTTCAATTCTGTGACGCTCTTCCTTCCTGGGAAATGGCATATACCTTCCCTGCTCTCCCCCAGGCCTGTCTGAGGATGGCACAGCAGGGAAAGGGCTTTGGAAACAGTCACGTGCTTCCATGAGGTACCGACGTCATACCACGGCTACTACTGAAGAGGTGAAATTAATTCTCAGCCCAACAGAGGGGCTGGAAACGACCAAGGCCGTGTCTCCAAGCCCATGGCCCGGACCCCTTTCCTTCTTCAAGGTCATAAAGGCTTATATAGAGCCCAGCTTTCTCGGGACCACACCCAGAGAGTAAAGTGTTCAGAAAACACATAGATCGTAGAAGAAAGTAGCAAAAACACATAGATAGCAAAGCAAAGATCTTTCTCTGCACTGAGGCTATAGAAGGCCCAGAGACAACTCAGCAGTCTTTCTGGAGTCCAGTAAAAATGGAGTCATTTGGGTTAGAAACACAACAAAGCATAAAATGATAACCAAAAACTCAGGACATTATTAACAAGTGCTGAGAATGGAGCTCCCAGTAATGGCCCCCAAGTCTCTGGCCCGGTAGGAGGTCCACTCACTTGTCCAAGATTAAATAGAGGTCAAGATTGCTCTGGCAGGATTTCTTGTGATCTGCCAGCCTCTCCCTGGACCCCATGTCCTGGCTGTGGCCCTGGCGGGTGCTCTCCCCATCCAGGTTGGTGTTGCTGGGGAGGCTTCTCCTGGCCCGAGTGAGGTGGTGGAAATCTAGCCAGGTCGGGGCTCTGTGCTGGTATGCCCCACTGCTTGGCAGCAGAGGGGGCAAAACCAGCAGGAGCAAGAAAGCAAGTCCAGGCACCCTGAGGCAGCTGCCTCCCATTTCCTTGGCAGCCGGGGAGGCTGCAAGGGACGCTAACCTCTTGAAACAGGCAAGCTGGGACCTACACTCTTTCAAGCAATATACAGGGGCCTATACCCCTTGAATCAAGTCTTTCCTTTAATCAAGTCACAATAGCCTCTACTAGTAGACCTGCACTAAGGGCAGAGTAGGACTATACTGGGTGGAGGCCCCGCTGCCTACCATGGTGTCTCCCTGACCCACAGAGACATAATGCCCTGTGTTGTGACGGACAGGGAGGTTGGCATGGTGACCCTGTGGTGGCCCACTGCAGCTCTGCTCACTGTCTTGCCTACTGACATTCCCAGGGGGGAGTCAGGGCATCTCTGAAGGGGCTGTGAGAGGAACCTCCATTTGTCCCTTATCCTGAAACCTCACTGATGGCCATTAAAGTTCTCCGGAAGCTGAGTCTTTGCAAACTGCCAGAGCATTGGGCTGGCTCAGACAAGGACATTACTGTGGCTGAGGGGGTCATGGCTATTAGACCAGAGTGTTGTTATCATCATTTGAGTGAAAACTGATGTCTTCTAGGCAGTTGGAGGATCTAAAATTGAAAGGAGTGATGCAATTTTGTTTGTTTAGAAGGGATTCCACTTATCCACTGATGTGAATCACCCACTTCAAACTTACTAAGTCAAATAAGAACCACTTTATCATGCTCATAGTTGCATGGATCAGAAATTGAGAGAGAACTGTACTGCCTTGTTTGCTCCATGGAAATCATTGGAACCCCCTGAACTTTTAATTTTAGAAGCAGCACCCCATCTCTATTCTCCCCAAACCTTTGTAATATTTGATTGCAATAATAGGGATATGGGGATACATGGGAGGGATGTGAATCTGAATCCAGACTCCCCCTATCAGTGTCTCCATAAGCAGGTGTTCAATGTCTTTTATGAAATTTCTGTAAGAGATCTTGACATCTTCTGTCAAGTGCCTTATCTGAATGCCTTATCATTTTACTGCCATTGTTAATGATGTTTAAAAAAATACGGTTTTTAAACTGTTTATTGATAGCACAAATAAATATATTTAACCAGTTTGCTAAAATCTCTTGTCTAAAACCTTTTCTGTAAAATTGTGTTTCCATGAAAAACCATAAACCAAAAGCTCTGGCTCATTCTCCAGTGAAAAGCCACTAGGTCTTTGTGGTGGTATTCTTCATTTGAAAGAACACTTGTACAATAACTTAAAGATTGATGTTTATTGAAGGCTTTTGGTAGCTACCCTCTTTCTGGTTAGACAATTTCCCTGGCACCCAGAGGGTGTGGGCAGCCATAAGTAAGATTTCCACTAAAACACAAGAGAGCTAGTGAATTTTGAATTTGAGATAAGCCATGAATGTATTTTTAGTGTAAATATATCCCATAAGGACATGTTTCCAGTGGGCTGGCCCCTAGAAAAGGCCCTTCCCCAGAATGTAATTGTTTCCTAGGTTATCTCTGGCAGCCGCTGATGTCCAGGCCCAGCATACCCACCCCTCTAAGCTCCAGTGCCCCAGTGCCCCTGACCTTGCTCAATTGAGCCTTATAGGACTTGGCAATCTGCTGCCTCTACTTATTGCTTCTCCGCGTGAGCACATCGGTGATGGCCTGCTTTTTGGTCCTTGCAGGGTTGCACAGTGTGAGCAGCTCCACTGCCCCTGATGGGAGAGGGGTGCTGGGGAAGCCCAGAGAGGAGGGAGGGCAGCTGCTTGTTAGTTCAGTTATGGGGACCTACACCTGCACATCCCCAAAACCAGATGGCTTTCACGATGTAGACAAGACAGCGAGACAGGAAATCCATCCTTTCATGCGCCCTTCCACCCACCACTGTTGAGGCAGAGCACAGGCCAAGACTCCAGTGCTGGAATGTGTGGACCCATTGGTCATCTGGTCAGGACTGAGGGATCAGAAAACTGGGTTTGAGTGTCTGCCAGCAGCCTGACCTCCCTGTCTCTGCTTTCTCATCTGAAAAGAGGAGATAATAGTAAATCTGGGTTGGGAAGTAAGGAGAGGAAAAAACATGCTTTCTAGTTTCTTCTAATGGTGCTTCTTCTTGTACCTATTGGCCATTCCAAGCCAGGTAGGGAGTAAACCCTCCAGGGTTAACAGTAGGAGGGCTCTCTGGTCAGCCATGCAAACCCCAAAGACTCAGATCAGCCCTTTCCTGCTCACAGCACATGGAATTTGGGTACTGGAGACTGAAGAATGGGCCGGCTGATGTGGAGAAGGGAAGTCTCACAAAACCTCTTCAGCTGGTGCCCCGTGAGCACAGTTCAGTCCCTCAAAAGTTCCATCTCCTCTGTACCAGGTGCAAGAGCAACATCATCCCATCCTAAATTCACAGTGGCAAGCAGATGCTCCAGTTTTGTGGGGCATACTATGAGGAAAAAAACCCATCCTTAGTGGAGTGAAGATGCCTGCACTGGGTGTACAGCATACCCAGGAGATGCCCCGGCCACTCCTCTATTACTTGGCCCCTCCCCCTCACCCCCAGTTTTGGAGGATAAGTGTAGACCAGTGCTGGAGAAGGTGGGATGTGTATGATTCTCTGCATGTGTGTGTGGGGGGCAGGGAGGGGGTGGTTCTCATAAAATTATGTGGAGGCCCTGACTCCTTGGCTGTCCCTGACTTCACCCTCTTCAGGTCTGTGAGCAGGAGGGCCTGAAGCTTCAGAGCCACAGTGTTGCCAGGGCAAGCCATGGCTGCCATTCACCCATGCCTCTTCATGGCTTTCTAGAGAGACTTTGCATCCAGATCTGGGTTGAAGTGGGGCTGCTCTTCACTGACACACCTTGTGTTCAATCTGCAAGACAAACCAGCCTGCTGAGAGTGTGACAGGGAAAGCATTGCGGGCTCCCAGCTTACCTTGGTGTCCACCTGGGCAGGATGGACAGCATGTGTGCCCTGCAGGATGGTGGCTGAGCCTCCAGTGCCTCCTGGCCCTGCCTACTTTGATCCCCTTCCTTTGATGATGGCACACC